ACTGTCGTAAAGTTTGAAATCTCTAGCTAAAAAGCTTTTTATTTAGATGCACAGATTTTTATATTTTTACTGACGGTTTTGTAATTCTTCCATTCCATATCGTTAGTATTAGGTGTCAAAAATTTTTTAAAGTTTAAGGCAGTATTATGAAAATAAAATTATAAAACTATAGAAAGTACCTTTGGGATAGATTCGGCATTTTTATGTGGGGTACATTCGGCCAGAAAGTTCATTATTATTTCCTTTAAATAGTTTTGGGGTTGTCTTTAAAATAAATCCTTTAATATGGTTCGAAATTACATATACAAGAGTTGTTAATATGTCTTTGGAGGATCATTGAAATGGAGTCGGATGAAATTAACTGCGTATATAGATATTTGAACTATAAAAACAACCCATATACATACCAATCTGAAATTTATGAACAATTGAATGTCAATCATCCAGCAAAATATGTATAAGATCTATATATAAAATGACGTATATGAGCAACCGTGGCATCCACCATTTGGTATGCTGCAACACAGTGCGCTATCTAAAATTTATCTCGACACAATACCCAAAACACGTTATTCTAGGTTTGATTTGGTACATTGTGCACTAATTCGTCCGAAATTTAGTTATTTGGTGCACCGTTTTGATGAAATAGGATGATAATATATATGGAAGCTGTTTCTAAACCTGAAGTGTCTTTAAACCAATACGCTATGCAATATTTCATGTAAAGCGAACAGACATGTTTAAAATCGGACAAAAATATGAGCTATATCTACATCTGAACCGATTTCAACAAAACGTGACATATACCAATCTAGACCCAATTCAGTAGGTACTCTGTGCAAAATTTTGTCTCAATCGGACCAATATTGGGAGTTTGGTGCACCATTTACATAAAATCGGACAAAACTATATATGGGAGCTATATCTAAATTCGAACAGATTTTCGTCCATTTCGATAGGGTTCGTCCTTGAGCCAAATAAGTGATATGTGCCAAATTTCATCCAAATCGGATCACAAATGCGACCTGTACTTTGTTCACAAAAATACACGGACAGGCGGAAGGACGGACATGCATACATCGACTCAGAGAGTAATTCTATGCATATTCAAAAGGAACTATGGGTCTATCTCGATTCCTTTTGTCTGTTATAAACATATGCACTAAGACATAATACCCTGTACCACAGTGTGTTGATGGGTATAAAAATCTATTTCTGATTAAAATAAAGCCTTAAAAGTCAAAAATTGAAGCTACTCCAGTCTCCAGTTGTTCAGAACAAGTGGATTTCATCTAAACTTGCCAGGCGTTATATCAGATCCATTCCGATACGTTGTGAATGTTGTGGCTTACTTAAAAGTTTTACATAAAATCGTACGAAAATTTATATGAGAGCTATATCTAAATCTGAACCGATTCCAACGAGCTTTAAATCGTGGAACCTTGGAACGAATAGTTATATTGTCAATTTTTTGCTTCAGTCCATATGGGAGCTAATCTAAGCCTGAACCGATTTTCCCAATAGGATTCGAACTTGGGCCAAATAAATGAGATGTGCCAAATTTCATTTCATTCGGATCATAAATTGCGACCTGTACTTTGATTACAATTTAACATGGACAGATAGACGGACCTGCATAAATCGACTCAGAAAGTGATTCTATCCATATTATAAAAAGGAACCATATGTTTCTCTCATTTCATTTTGCTTGTTACAAACATATGCACATAGACATGATACCCTGTGGTGAAGTTTACAAATATAATTGGTATTTATATAAAAGACAACCATTCCTATTGGATATACTGTCAACTTCTCCGGTCTATGCCCTTCAGGAATAAAAATATACGCCATAGAATGCACATTTTTCACACAAAAGACTGAGTCTACTTGAGCCGCTAATACAGACCGATTATCATAAAAAGGGCCATACTTGTTTCTTGATCAGATCCCTTTCTCTATGTAAAATTAAGTGATGTTCGGGTGATAATTATGGCCTCTAGAGCGACCAGAAATAAAACTAACAAAAAAGTTTTCCGCCCACCAAAGGTTTATCTGTTTTAAATCAGTAAGGAAAGTACAAAAGTCGGACCTGGCCGACTATGTGAGACTCAATTCGGTTCGATTTATAGTAAACTTGACATACGTCATTCAAACTTAGATCCAGCACGATATGCAAAATTTTCAATCGGAGTTTTGGAGTTTAAAACTGACTCACCTCTGTTGTTATTTTTGAGATTTTTCAGAAGGTGTATCTCGCTCTTGAGTTGTATCCAATTGTGATGGTGTGTTGTGCTCCATAACTCGTTTGGTGCCATGAAACAAGACGTATCTATCATCCCAGAAGTGTTGAAATCTGTTGGGGAAATATAAAGGTGTATATTATTCTAAAAAATAATGTGACACATAAACTTGCACTTTTAATTACCTGTAAGACTTAAAGCATCATGGTGATGTGATATTCTTCTTATATCGTTTACTTGCTTAAGATTTGGCGGGAGTAGTATCTTTTTCCCGTTGTACTGCATTCTGAATTCTTCGAATATGTGGTTCATACGACCCTCTTAACCAACTTTTATATAGAAAACGCCCATATTATTGAGTCACACTGGAGTCTGGTTATTTATTGGAGTCAGATTCTGGTGTGAGGTTCTAACTAGATTTCTTGGACAGTGATCAACTGTCTATTTATTTTATTAGGTTTTATGATTTAAATCAGTCAGTTCGTCACAAGTTCTTTCAGGGTAAACATGCAAAATCTTCAAAGATAGGCTATAGATAAAGAACCTTTTATGAGGTTTTCAATATATAAAGGAACTTCCATAGGGTATTCCTTCCAAAGATTAGTAAGGAGATCTTCTAAGTATTGAAGACATATGATTAAGTATTCTACGTATAAAATACCTATTCACGGGCCTTATATAGAAGACCTTTAAGGAATTCTTCTACAAAGACAGATGGAAGATCTTTGCGGAGATCTTCAAGCAATAGAAGACACTTCAAGATATTCCCAAGCGTATTCTCCGGGGAGAAGGACCAAGAAAATTCAAAGACTGGATTGAATCCAGTTTTCTATATTACACATTTTTATAAAGTTCTGCTGTTTAAAGATTTTCACAAACATATTTCAATAAACCAGACTGATATTTTAACGAAGAAAAGAAAGCCAACTCTTGAGCTTCTTTATATTTTTTATTTGTTAAAATAATATTCTAAAGTCACTGTGTATAAAATGGTCTTTTAAGGCCACAGAGATTTTTTGGCGTGCAAGCAAGTGTTCGCTACTGGTGGTTCGATTGTGATGTTAGAGTAGCTGATGTTTGTCGTCACCAGTGTTGCCAAAACTTTGTTGATAAAAAATGCTAGATTTTGTTTAAAAAAGTGCTAGAAAGTGCTAAAAAATTTTAAAAAGTGCCAAATAAAAGTGCTAAAAATGTTATAAGAGAAATTAGAAGAATTTACTATAAGGGAACATCCCCCAAAGAATAAGGAAGATCTTGACCGATTGGATTTATCCTAGTTCATACGATAGCTATACACTAACAGAAAAACGTCCCAAAATTTTGAATCGGTCCAATTATTAGTTTTTGAGTTATCTTGCCCGAGCAAAAACGCTGTTTGCTTTAAAGTTTGAGAAGCCCTCTCCGTAACTTGATGCTAGCGCAATAAATCGGCTATATCATCATAGATTTTCACTTGAAATTTCATAGGACATTTTTGAATTAGTGTAGATTCGAATTAAATCAAAATATAAAATTAAATTTTTTTAAATCGAGAATAGGGGTCCCCTTAATTTGATATTTTGTATTCTCATTAGGTAAAGTGTCCCTACCAATAATTATCGCAAGTTTTTCATTAAATTGACTATAATTTGACTTTTTATCGGTTTTTATGATATATGCAGAAAATTGTTAAGGCACATCTTCATGTGGAAGTTTTAGTGTGTGGTGTGTAAAGGTTCTATCCTATTTGTGTCCTTTAAGAATTATTTTTTTAGGTCCATCTTTTGACATAACACCATTATAACGTGGGACGCGACCCATTTTCTGTACTCTGAAATTGCTATAATTTGGCATTCGGGATTCCCGATGAATAAATAACTCCTTTCTCCTCTCTGATTTAGGTACATGATTTTTACATTGCTCTTAATTTTCATTTTACCTAATAAACAAATTAATATCAATGCTAAAATGAAGTACCCGTTTTTTGAAAAATTTAATACACATGGTTCAGGGTAAAAAAACTTTAACTTTAATACTTATTTACTAATGTACTGGCACTTTTTTTACATTGGAAAATTAAAATCATAGCGTGAAACATAAGGACATTTTAATCCGTCAATGTGAAATCGAAATAATACCCAAAATTTCAACTAATTCCAGAAAAAAATAAAAGTGCTAAAAAAGGTGCTAGGTGCTAGATCAATTTTTTTGGTGCTAAACGAGTTTCAAAAGTGCTAAATCTAGCACTAAAAGTGCTAAATTGGCAACACTGGTCGTCACTGTCAAGTAATAATTCCATTCCAATGGATCTGTGGGAGCCTCTTGCAACAGATGTGCTCTCAACACTAAACAACAATAATTATGCGATCTTCATGCTATTCCATCTTATCTGAAATTAATCTTCATGGTAGTGTGTGGTGTGAAAACGATGAGAATTATTTTTTTCGAGCAGTATGTGAGTGACTAGAAGGATTTTCCGATAAATCTAAAATTGTAAACTTTTTTATTTTTAGTTCCACTATTTTTTAGATGGCTAGGAGAGAGGGAGGGTTTTTCTCCTAGCTCTAATTAATTTGTTTGTTATATGAGATTTTTACGAATCTATGTGTCTGTCTGCAAGTAAAGGGTAATATAAAATCCCCACCCCTTTTGACGGAATACAACATGTGCAGTTGTGTGAGTGTGAACAAGTGAACCACAAATCTAAATTTTAAAATTAAAATTTCAATATTTTATAATCCATCCATAATCATAAACGTTTTTATGACTTGGCTTTTCGTCTGCTGCCATTCGAATTTACAAATCGCCACCGACAACATTTTTCAGATTTTGGCCAAATCCCATTTGCTTCATCATTGTGTAGACGGAAAAGGCAAATTTTACAACCTGTAAATCAAATTCATATTTCGGGGGAAAACTCTTTGTATCTCAAATTTCATTGCGACGTCTCTTACATTTATGTTGGAATTCAGTGTGATGGGAAAGATTTTCATCGCCGTCAAAATCAGTGTCTTCTGGGTGTGTTGTAGGAAAAAACAAATCATTTGCTTGTAACGCGGTTCCTCGTTATGCCATGCCGAATGAAATATGGCCAATGAAATGCTATCACTATCGTCCATTAGACAATTGGCCAGGAAGCTGCAGGGAAATGTTTCGGCCAATATCGATGCCACATAGAAGAGGGATGCTATGACAGCCAAACGATCAGCAAAGAGAAAAATGTGTAGCGTGGTGATACCCAAGATGAGGCCAATAATGAGAAATTGAACAAACATTGTGCCAGATATGACAGGGCAGAATATGTTGTATAACCTGGAAAAAAAGAGGCAAGTCAATAAAAGGAATATTTATAATGTCAAAATAGGAAATTTAAATTTTCAATTTCAAAATAATATTCAGCCAGGCTGAATACAAATTTTTTTATCAGGAAATGACATTCAGCCTGGCTGAATAGCAATTTTTCTATCAGAAAATGATATTCAGCCAGTCTGAATAAAAATTTTCTATCAGAAAATGATATTCAGCATGTTTTCTGAAGTAATGTTCAATTTTTTTTTTATCAGAAATTGATATTTAGCCTGGCTGAATATAAATTTTCTGTTAGAAAATGGTATTCAGCCTGGCTGAATAGAAATTTTCTATCAGAAAATGATATTCAGCCTGGCTGAATAGAAATTTTCTATCAGAAAATGATATTCAGCCTGGCTGAATAGAAATTTTCTATAAGAAAATGATATTCAGTCTGGCTGAATAGAAATTTTCAATAGGAAAATGATATTCAGCCTGGCTGAATAGAAATTTTCGATAGGAAAATGATATTCAGCCTGCCTGAATAGCAATTTTCGATAGGAAAATGATATTCAGCCTGGCTGAATAGCAATTTTCGATAGGAAAATGATATTCAGCCTGTCTGAATAGGAATTTTCAATAGGAAAATTATATTCAGCCTGCCTAAATAGAAATTTTCAATAGGAAAATGATATTCAGCCTGGCTGAATAGAAATTTTTTGGTATTATAATATGATATTCAGCCCGGCTGAATAGAAATTTTCTATTAGAAAATGATATTCAGCCAGGATGAATAGAAATTTTCTGGTATTAGAATATGATATTCAGCCAGGCTGAATAGATATGTTGTATCAGAAAATGCTATTCAGCGAAGATGAATGATATTCAGTCAGTCTGAATAGAAATTTTCTATAGTAAAATGCTATTCAGCCAGGCTGAATACAAAAGATGATGAGGAAAATGATGTTTAGCCACGCTGAATAGAAATTTTCTATGGGAAAATGATATTCTGCTACGCTGAATAGAAATTTTTTGTCGGAATTTTATGTTGTACTTACCCCATAATATTCTTATGATCCAATACACATTGTACCAATTCCTCATAACGTTGATCACTGGTCATTTCGGAAATATTACCCAATCGCGATATACGTCTCGTTAAAATATGTAAATGTGTTCGTATTATAGTGATATAAATAACCGGATATGAATCTAGCAATGCCTGTTGAAAGCAGTGAAAGGCAATCATCAGATATTCGCAACCAGCTTGAATGGAAAATTTCAAGGTATCATCTTTCCAATGGAAAAATGGATTAAACACCTGATATGGAGGCTTATCATTAATGACGGCTACCAAAAATGTACTACTCGCATAGGACAAATACAGGGCGGCATAACACGTCAGCGAACGATTTGAAAATGCAACAGTCTCACGAATTTGTAAGCGATCTTCATCGTTATTGATACGTACATCAAGACGATCCATAAATTTCCGCCCTTCGATAAGACGTCGATACAAAAATAAGAAAACGAACATTTTGAGACTGCAACCAATGCAGTTGATCCATATTTGCAAGGATGTAAAGAAATCGCTGGGACTGAAGGTGCTCAGGCGTAGCAGGAAACTCATTAGGAAGCCAATTGGCATATAAATGGTGACAAAGAAATTGATAAAACATGACCATAAATAAAAGGCCGCTTTGTAGTTCTCAATTGGCAAATAACCAATAATGCTCATGCCACGAACAATGTATGTGGTGGCGTCTCGGGTCTTCGGCAATGGAGCTTCCAGATCCATGTGTGCTAAATGGAATACACGACTGAAAAAATATTTACAATTTTTATTATAAATCAGTAAGCATTTAAGCTGCATAATTGGGTGAGGCTGACCATGTGATTAACAAATTTTCAACATTAACCCATAAAGAGGCATATATGTACAATATCCTGTCTATCAGCCAGACATAGGATCTTCAGTTTTCGGCGCAAGTACTTACATATTTAATATGAAGATGTAGAGTTGGTGAATGCGCTGCCGAATATTCATTTTTGATGATGATAAATTCAAGTAAATACTTTGCCCTTTCGAATTCAATTGTAGGTGAATGGTAGGTCACACTTTATTAGGGTCCACGTTTCCTCCCTTCTTGCTTCTAAAATAAATAAACAAATATAAAACATCGTCGTTGTCGTTATGTTTTTGTTTTGGGTGATCATTGTCTTCTTTGAAACTAAATGTTTTGGTTTGGCATTTCGCATTGTCGTATTTTTTATTATCTTTGCTCCGATTTGAGGCGGAATCGATTTTTGTTTATCTTAAGTGAATTTCTCTGTTACCAGTAGTTGATGTTATTTTTTGGGTGAGTAATTTTATGTATTTGTTTTTTATTCCCTCATATATTCTTTAAAAACACAACACAAGACCAACTGACGTCTGACCATCACCCAATAAAAAATAATTGTTTATGTTGTACGTTAGTTTAATGAAATATATATAAATAATTGTATGTTTGTATTCTATTCCAGTAAATAACACAATCATAATTCCAATTTGACCTAATTTTTATTCCCTCTACCACACTGTGGTGGCAAAAGGAAAGGAGATAGAGACATGGTTCCTTTTGAAAATATGCATAGAATCGCTCTCTGAGTCGAATTATGCATGTCCGTCTGTCCATGTTAAATTTTAAACAAAGTACAGGTCGCATTTATGATCCGAATTGGATTAAATTTGTCCCAAGGATGCACCCTATTGAAATTGGGAAAAACCGGTCCAGATTTAAATGTAGCTCCCATATATAGTTTCATCCGATTTTATAGAAAAGGTGTACCAAACTCACAATATTCGTCCGATTGATATAAAATTTTGCATAGGGTACTAAATTAGTCCCAGATTGATGTATACGAACTTTTGTTGAAATCGGTTCAGATTTTGATATATTAGGCTGGGGAAAATAAATCCATAATTTTATATATGAACTATAGTACTTTATTTAACATGCTTCGGAATGTCCGATTTGGACCAAATATGCATCGTTTTGTTGTATGATTTGTTGCCATTTTGAAGGTAACTTCATAACCTAGAAGTCCTGCTCTCTATTTTCAAAAAACTCTAGAAGTCGATTTTCACAATCCTCCCTAGATACCATTTTTTTTTTAATTAAAGAAATTTTGCAATGCAAGAAAAATATGATGATTGCTTGGTGCCAAGACCGGACTGTATTGCGGATGCAGTAAAACTTCCCAACCAGGCTCCGAAGTTTCTGGCGAGTCACTGTAGATGTGTGTGGCCTAGCATTGTCCTGGTGTAACAAGACTCCTCTCCTGATGGCTAATTCTGGCCGTTACTGGTCAATAGCTATCTTCAGACGGTCTAGTTGTTGACAGTAGAGATCAGAATTTAGCGTTTAGCCATATGGAAGCAACTCATAATAAATAATCCCATTCCAGTCCCACCAAATGCATAGCAGAAATTTCCTGCTTCACCGCTCTTTGACCACGATAGTTTTCACACAGGGTTATCGTATGTGATCCATTTCTCATCTCCAGTCACCATCCGTTTAAGAAATAGGTCTACCTCATTCCGATTGAAATGGAAATTCGATCCATCATTTTTTTCTGTTAATTGGTGTGGTACCAAAACATCGAGCTTCTCTTTGAATCCAGCTTTGTGTAAATTGTTTATAACAGTTTTATGGCCGATTTTTAGCTCCTGGGTGATGTTACGACTGCTAACATGTTGGTCAACTTCGATCATTTCCCCGATTTTATCGACATTTTCTACGACCGACCTAATGGATTTATTTTTCACCAACCTAATATATATATATATATATATATATATCATTCTAGACTCAATTCAGTACGCTATGCCAAATTTCGTGCAAATCGAAAGATACATAGAGACTTTGATGAACCATTTACATTAAATCGGACGAAATATATACTTAACATACATCATTCTAGACTTTATTCAGTACGCTATACCAAATTTCATGCAAATCTAAGGATATATAGAGTCGGTTCAAATTTAGATATAGCTCCCATATATATTTTGTGTCCGATTTAATGTGAACGGTGCACCGAGGAGCCTATGTTTGTTCGATTTACATGAAATATTGCATTGCGTATGGATAGAAACCGCTTTAGGTTTAGATATAGCTTTCATTTATATTTCCATCCGATTTCATGTAAATGGTGTACCAAATAACTAAAGTTTGCCCGATTAGGACGAGTTAATGTGCAACGTACCAAATTGAATCTAGAATAACGTGTATTGGATTTTGCAATATATATTCAATTATAGATATACCGCTGTATATTATCCTCCGAGTTTATGCAAATTGAGCAACAAATAATAAGTGTTTCTTCGTCCGAGATAAATTTTGGACAGCGCACTGTACTGCAGCATACCAGCCAATATTCCTCAAATGCGTTCAGATTTACATATAGCTCCCATAAATAATTTTGTGCGATTTCATACAAATGATTGACATTCAATTTTACATAGATTTCAGAATAGTATGTGTATGTTTTGTTTCAAATTTGTTTAAATAACTATGTAGATCACACAGTTAATTTCGTCGGAATCCATTTTAATGGTATATATTCAATTTACAGGATATGTATGTACCCAAAGTAGTGAAGGGTATCATATAGTCAGCCCCGTCGTTTGAACTTTCCTTTTTGGTCTACCTATTTATTTGTTCTTCATCTAGGCAACTCGCTACCCTATTTTTTCGATCATAACTTTTGGTTTCCTGATAATATAAAATTTACATAATTGTTTTTTTTTCCTTTAATGCTGGACCCACGTTTGACATAACTAAATGTGGCCGTCTTTAGGTATCTAAAAAGGTAATTTGAATTTAAAATATATTTATGTTCTAACTATTCGGTACTCTAATTTCCATTGGATTGAGGACATATTTGCATAACGTTGACGACATTGCTAGGTATTTCAACAAAATCTCCAAAGAAATATATGTCAATGCCTTTTTCGCCTTTAGTCATAGACATATGTGTTTTATTTGTTGGGACACCTACACATTAACAGATCTATTAATGCTAATCTTGGCGGGAAAGCAAAACTGCAAAAATATTTAATAATCCCGCAACCATGTTATAAATTTACAGACAAGTTCCACCCGCCCCATCAGACCTTTGTTCCTTGCCTTAGTTGGCATTGGTAAGCACTGAGGCAATGTTGCATGACGACAACATTGAAAACAAAATCAAAGGATTTTAATAACAGCCACTTGCAATGGCAACAAAAAGCTCACACACACACAAACACAAGAAAGACGCTCCAATGAATTTACATTATTTTCGTTGGGGTAATAAAGCAGCTGACACATAAGAATTTTCATGGAGTATTATGAATAAGGTGACCATATCAAAGAAATTATTTAAGAGACACTGAAAGAGATATGACTAAGACGATCAACAGGGGGATTGAGGGTACCCTGATGAAAGAAAACTAGAATACGATTTAAATCAATCAAAATCCATTTTGTGTTTTTCTACTCTTTTAGAACATTTGAAACCCAATTTAATAAATTACAGTTTTTCTCTAATTCGTTTGACTAAAATCTGGTCACTTTCTTTGCTACGCATAAATGTGAAAAATTCACGACAAAAATTGATGTTACACATTTCATTTCAATCACTCCAGATATGTACAAGTCTTCCTCACTATCGAGTGGGTACATTGTTTTGGAGTTGCTGATGGCTGGATTGGTTGAATGGAGGCAGAAAAGATGCAGGGAATTAAAAATACAAAAAGTGAATGATTTGCTTGACGACTAGGCAACCATAAAAAATTGCAATAACAATTACAAACGAAATAAAAGCCATGTCTTAATGTACCATTTAACATATACATATTAAGTAGATATGTACATATGTGGATATGTATGTAAATATATTTTAGATATGACTCATGTATGTATATTAATATATTAGGAGTTGACATTATAAATTGTACTATATAACAAGAGAATAGAAATGTATGAACTATACACTGTTTTTGGAATATAATTTAATTTAAGATGACATGAGAAAACAACTGAGGAAGTTTTACAATTTGAAGAAGAATGTTAGTAAGTTTCTACATTTTGGTGGGATATGTTATAATTTTGAAGACTTGTAAAATATTAAATTTTTCAGAAAACTGGAAATACAGAAGATTTGTACAGCATATTTTCATTATAGGTCCATTTTTTAACATAGCTTGCATATAAAGATTCATTCAAGTTCTAGTCACTGTGGTTACCCATATTCTAGTCTCATTTTCCACACAAGTGACTGTAATTAGCCATTATAAATCTGAACCGATTTGCACCAATTTCAATAGGGTACATCCTTTGGGGCAAATAAATTACTTGTGCCAAATTTCATCTCATTCGGATAATAATTGCGACCTGTACTTTGTTTACAATTTAACATGAACAGGCGGACGGACACGCATGAACCCAGAAAGTAATTCTATATTCTATATATTCTATGTCGTTTCCTTTTGCCTGTTACAAACATATGCACAAAGACAAAATACCCTGTACCACAGTGTGATAATTTTAGATATTTGGATTGTCATACTCATGGTGGACGGTATAAACATTTTTTTAACATTCGTGGAGTTTAAGAGGTAGGTTAGAAGATATGCGGTTGTCAGGTTGCTCTAGAAGATGATATGATAATATTTCTATGATAATGCTATTGGCAAAGCTGTAAATGATTCTGCGATTTATATAGGAGAACAAGTTTATCTCAGGTCTACTAAACATTTAAATCAATAAATCAATAGAGTATATGTTCGATCGATTCTGGTTTTCAAATATACGACTGTATTAAATCTTATCATTTTTCCTTTTAGGGAAGAGATAGCCAATCCTCGAAATGACTTGTAATGATCCCTACAGTCATCTTTAAATCTTTCATACCCACAGAAAATAATGTTTAGATTAGATTTCGGGGTTAGTAATGAGTAATTCCTTAGTTCCCCATACAACATTTTCTGAGCGAACACCGTCTTTTGTACATTGATCGAATCACTCTCGCAATAAACATGAAATTTGTCCCATACCTAACAATTGAGAGTATTTATCGAAAATAAATTAATTTTGTCTATTTTTATACCCTTTACCACACTGTGGTACAGGGTATTGTGTCTTTGGACTTCTGTTTGAAACTGGCAAAAGAAAACGAGATGGATCCATGGTTTCTTTTGAGAATATGCATAGAATCACTTTCTGAGTCGATTTATGCGTGTCTGTCCGTCTATTTGTCTGTCCATGTTAAATTGTAAACAAAGTACAGTTCGCATTTATGATCCGAATTGGATGAAATTTGACACAGCTTATTTATTTGGCCCAAGGACAAACCCTATTGAAATTGGGAAAAATCGGTTCAAATTTACTTAAAGCTCCCATATATAGTTTCGTCCGATTTTAAGTAAATGGTGCACCAAAGAGTCAAATTTAGGCCGATTCGCACAAAATTTTGCAAAGGGTACTGAAATGAAGATAGCTTAACGTGTGCAAAGTTTTATTGAAATCGGTTCAGATTTAGATATAGCTCCCATATATGTTTTCGTCCAATTTTTAGCAAATGGTGCACCAAAGAGTCAAATTTAGGCATATTGGCACAAAATTGTGCACAACGCACTGAAGTTATAATAGCCCAATGTCTGTCAAGTTTCGTTGAAATCGGTTCAGATTTAGATATAGCTCCCAAATATGTTTTCGTCCGATTTTTAGCAAATGATGCATCAAAGAGTCAAATTTAGGCCGATTGGCACAACATATTGCACAACGTTCTAAAGTTAGTTTAGCCTAACATGCGTTAAGTTAAAGTATTACATTGAGCCTAGAATGTTCAGTTGTGTAAAAATTGGTTCAGAGGCAAATATTACTTCCATATTTATTTTCTGAATTTTTCTGAATTATGGTAATTGTGTACCAAATAAAGAACTGGTGTCCAATTGAGATTTAATTTGGAACAACGCTCTGTGTTGTAGCATAATGAATAGTTTTATTTAAGGGGACCCCCCCATTCTCGGGGTCAATTTTTTTTTGTTTCAATTCGATTCTACAATTCAAGAATGTCTCTACAAAATGTCAAGTGAAAATCTCAAGAACTCTTGAAGATATAGCCGATTTATTGTGTCAGCATCAAGTGACGGCTAAAGGGCTTCTCAAACTTTAAACGCGTTTTTCTCTTTTGCGAATGGCGGGTACGATAACTCAAAAACTAATAAGCCAATCGATTCCAAATTTTTACACGTTTCTCTGTGAGTGTATAGCTACCGTATGAACTAGGATAAAGCCAATCGGTGAAGATCTTCCTTATTTTTTAACTTGGTAACAACAAAGCAATAACAAAAATGTTTTGATTATTATTTTTTCTTTTTTAAATCTTCAAATATATATGTGCAAAGTTACAAACCTTTACAAGCATTGGTATTGATTTACCAGCCCATTGAAAATCTTGAAAAATTAAAGTCGAGAATGGGTGGGGTTTCCTTAATAAAATCTACAAATTTTGAGATAAAATCCAAAAAACAACAACATCATACTGAAAATTTCACATTTTTCAGAAAACATACACTTTCCAAGCTTACTAGTGATTTTTCGCACTGGGCTTAGAAAATTTACCCAAGTCGAAAATCTTAAAACCAGCTTTAAACAAAAACATTGGCTTATAATCCAAAACCCAGCTAGGGGTTCTTCTACCATCATAAGTTATTGGCGGTCCCGATTGGTTCAAGTTTTTAGTGCTGCCATTCAGTTTAGATCACCTTGCAATACTCGTTAGAGAGTTCATGGATCAGAAGTATATATTTTGGATTCAAGACATAGTATATACTTCTACGTCGATTCTTTTTGTCCCAAATAACGATATTAATAACGAGTTTTTAACTTTAGGTTTAAAATGTCTAATATTTCACTTTAAATATGACATTTTCGGTGCTTCTGTAGAAATCGTTGTTGACGGTCTTTTCATATTTTAGGTAGCCATTACACTTTTTCCATGCTTCCAGCTCTGACCGTCCTTTAAAATTTATTGTTTTAAAATCGGCGTTCTTATTTTTTTTTTTAAATGCACGCCTATATCTCTGATAATCATTGGAAAAATATTGATTATTAATCCACGCATATAGCTCTGGTAGTCCTTTGGGAAATGTTGCTTTATAACCATTTGTATGAAATGCAGCAATATGTTGTATGGGAGCTATATGTAAATCAGGACCTAATCGAGCAACCATGGCATACGCAATCTAGTATTCTGCAGCACATTGCGTAGTCCACAATTTTATCTCGTTATTATTTCGGCACAAATTGCATTTACTCAGATGCAAATATATATAGGTGTTATATTTACATATGAATATATTGTACAAACTGCAAATCAGATGGAAATATATATGGAAGCTATATCTAAACGTGTAGGCTTATTCTGTAACTTTTTAACAACATTCGACATTGTTTATTTAACAACAATTGCATTTGTTTGTTTTGTTGTTTTTACAATAACAATAGAAATTTAAACATTGAATTTTGTTAAAAGTTACAGAATAGGCCTACTGAACCGATTTCAACAAGTTCCAATCGAATACTCTCTGCAATATTTCATGTAACGCCACCAATCGTATGCTTCTCGGTGCGCCATTTGCATGAAATTGGACCAAAATATATATGGGATCTATATCTAAATCTGAACCGATTTCAAAAAACTTCGCAATATTTTGTCTCAATTGAACAAATCTTGGGGGGTTTGGAGCACCATCTACCTAAAATCGGACGAACTATATATAGCAGATATATTTATATATTATCCAAATTTCGTCACAAACGGACAAAAATTGGGAGTTTGCATAAAATCGGACGAATGTATATATATAGAAGCTATATGTTTATCTTTTCCGATTTCAATGAAACTTAACACACTTTATCATTGTCGCAATTTAATATGTTATGGCAAATGTTGTCGACAAAAAGTTGGAGTTTGTTTCATTATTTACATAAAATCGGACGAAGATATATATTCTGATCCGATTTCAATGAAACTTAACACACTTTATCCTAGTCTCAATTCCATACGTTGTGCCAAATTTTGTCTCATTTGTACAAAAATTGGGAGTTTGATACAACATTTATATAAAATAGACGGATAGACAGACGGACATGCATAAATCGACTCAGAAAGTGATTCTATGCATATTCTCAAAAGGAACCATCGTTTCCTATTGCCTGTTACAAATATATGCACAAAAACATAATACCCTGTACCTCAGTGTGTCCTTAACCATTCCATGTCTATAGCTCTGACAATCCTTCAGAAAATATTCTTTAAAAAGAATCCACTCCTACAATTATAATAGTTCTTGGAAAATAATGTAAAAATCACTAAACTTCGGTCGACCCAAACTGTGGTGCGCATTTCAATTTAAATTCCTAAATTCGGTAGAGAACTTTTTGTGAACACTAGACTGTGAGAAAATTAAATACCAAATTAGAGACCCCAGGTTGGAAAATTGGGCTAGGAAATTTGCATAAATTAAGTGAGGACCTATAATGAAAATTTTTGGGAATTCGGAACGGGGGTAAATGTGCCAAAACATCGATCGATATTAAAAATTGTCTGCAAATAAGTTTTCCACCAACTAACAACCTAGGACCCCACTTCGGATGGAAAATACACCGTGAACAAA